CTTATGTCCCATCAAGCTGTAAGTCACAACTGGTTGGTAGCGAGAAATTCAGGAATAAAGAACTTTCCAGGGAAAGARTARTTTCTAAGAGTTTTACCAGGAATAYAAAAATGTCCTTASTAAAAMAATTTAAGCCGTTTTTGACCATAAACTGAAACGTTATATAAGGTAATAAGGCTTTTTGACCTTAAAAACGTTCGCCTTGGTTTGGCAGGAACAAAATTATTTCAAAGAATGAAGGGCGCCACTTTACTTGTGATTGTCAACARTGTAGCTCAAAATCCCTTTCMCRGGAAAAAATCGAACAAACATGGGAGAGGTTTCAGTATCAGAAAGTTTAATCATTTTCTGCTTGTTTGATCGCCCAGTTTATAATAGCAGTATAATAATAGTAATATTTCTGGCCTGTCATGAAAACGAAAATAAAGGTGGTGTGGAGCTACAGTTTAGAAGAATAATTTGGGATAAAACATCTCATATATCTTTGACAACAATTGTAGCAGACGGTATTAATATTTGCATACAAATTTAATGAGAAGTTTTTTTCAAATTAATAATGAACACTTTTGTTGGTAGCTAGCCATTGATTTTTCAGGCCGTTTCCATATTCTTCGCTCAATACAATACAGTCAGTTTTTTGCTTTTCTAGCTTTTTTCCCTAGCTTCGTTTTGTAAGCAAACACAAAACGAAAGACATCAATCATGAATGTTCCCGCTTTTAGTTTCAGTGTTAGTGACTAAATATCATATAGATATCTATAGATATTATGTTTGATAAAATGTCACGGTTAATTCTCTAAAATGTTTGAAACTTAATATTTTCAGTGTCGAAGATACGACATCCTTTCACGGTTGGCATAGCAACGTACATTTTCAGCCGATGTAAATGGAACTTTCAAGCTTTCTCTTACGTAAGGGGATAGTCACCGAATTGATATTTTACTGCAACGTATTTCACTATAAATCAAAGAACAATTTTTCGTCTCTTAACTCGGCTTCTTTTTTAATAAAGAATTTTAAACTTTTTTTTTTCAACTTCTTGCTAGAAGGAGCGACATATATCCATCCTAATCGAACACGGAGAAGATAAAATTGGCATGTCTCCAAGCGACTATGCAATATCATTTGCTTATCACCGCATGAATGTATTCAACCATTCGACCATTATAGCTATTTTATTACAACACACTGAGGAAGGTCGGAGTTCTGACCGAAACGTCTGCGTTTTATCATTAATATCTTAGTCCAGTGACAAATATATTTATTCAGATTTTAATATTACTCTTCCTAGCAGCAATTTTAAAATATGACCAGAGTATATAACTCATTATCATTATTTGATGATTTTTTTCAGGTATGGTGATAACAGACCATGTAATATCTACCCATTATGTCTCATCCCCACTGGATTGCAGTTTCCAGTGCACCTCCACACACACCTGTCTATCCTACAACTACAAACACAGAGGGATTGGTGCCGAGGATGTCTGTCAGCTAAATAACGCCACAAGGAAAACCGCCCAGGGCTCTTATAAAGTAGACGTCGACTTTGTACACTACTTCGACCAATCTGAGGTATTTTTATTAGTAATGATTTATGCCTAAAATTCACCGCGATTTATCGTCTACTAGGATTCATTTCTTTGAAGGGCTGTTGCATCCAGTTCCAAGTAATCTTCATGATATCTCGTCATTGTTTGCTTTCCCATTTTTGCTGTTAGTTTGCTCTTGTGGCGCGGATCATTCTTCGTCGTCTTCAAATAATAATAATAAATATATAGATAAATAAATGATAATATAGCGCAAAACATCCATCACGTTCTGATGCTCTTTACAAAATGGAATCCAATCAATCCGCTTATATCTGCTTTCATYGCCGGTTTCCAGGAGCTTATTGCTTGTTCCACGATGTTTAGAAATAGACTGTAAGGCGGCAATTTTTTCATCTCAGTGTTTGCACCTGGAATGACTGGATTGTGATGGGCTGGGCCGTGGGGCACCATCGTAAATGAAAATGACGTTTTCATCGGGATCAAGATTAAAACGCGTCTTTGCCATAAAGTTGTTAAATTTCTGCGAATTCATTCCTAATTGATCGGATAATTGAAGAGTGGAAGACAAGGCCATTAGTCGGTGAAATAGCGAGTGCAACCGTCACGTATCTTCCACTTTGACCGCAGACTCTCCTGTAGGCCCTTTCTCCTCTTCTCGCTCTACCTTCAAGACTGCGGTATTATTATATTTTTACACGTACAATCACGGCAATTTCATGCTGAAAATTGAGCAATCTTTTATGTTTTAGCTTTTTTTATCCATGAACATTCAAAAATACAAAAGTAGTATTGATTTTTTCTTTTGTGTTATTGTATTTTGAATCGCTCAAATGATTGTCAAAACGCACTAAAGAATTTATTCTCGAATGGCTATGATTGTCCAAACGCGCTATAGATTGCCTATGTTTATGCTAATAACACTAATGAAGTTTYATTTTTGGTTGAATGATTGTCAATAAATGCAACCGTTTGTCAATTGGTGCTATTGAATTTTCATTGCGCGCACATGAAACAACGTTCCACCCAAATGATTGTCCAGTCGTTCAGTTGATTGTCTATTGATATTGTTGAATGCTCGCGCGTATTTAAATATCGCTATTGAAAGTCGTTTCGCGCCAATGATGTTGCTTACGGTGTTCAAGAAAGYACAATAAAAGTTATTGAAGCAACGCTTGGCACAAATGAATGTACGTTTTACGCTAATGAACAGCAAAAGGTGTACTTGAATTCCGAGCAGTTTTGCTCGAGTTGTTTGAGTGCAGAAACTGGACATAAGACTGAAAATAATTAACTGGGAACAATTTCCAGAATTCCCAAAGCTTTTGTTACACAATACCATAATTTACTTATTATTTAAGCTGAAATCTTGCTTGAAGATACCACAATCACAGTAAACTGCTCAACCACTCCATTCCAGAGGAAATGACATGACCTCTTCCAAATTCCACCAATCGTACTTTTAATTTCGATAATAATCCAGTTTCGAATTCTCCAATGCTCTGTGTTAGCCTTATTTGTGCGCAAAATATTCCTAACTGTGAGAATAAAAGTGTGAGATTTCAAATCATTTCTATTGTCTTTCTTTTCAAATTCCATGCGTTTTCTCGTCCTAACAATGAAACAAAAGAATATGTTACTTCGTTTTGAGGCTAACACAGAGCAAACCAGAACTCGAAATTGGAGTAAGATATAACAAGAACTTATTCAAAATACAATAATGAAGTGATCTCATTGTTTTTGCTTTAGAATTTCAAGTCGTGTCTTGATTATCTCCGAAATGGAGCCATAGAGAATGGTATCTACGCCATTAAAGACACCAATGGAGACTCCTTTAAAGTCTACTGTGATTTCACCACCGAGCCTCGGTCAGCTTGGACCTTGATTCACTCATTTGCCCTTAAAAACAAACATATGGCTGCATTTAGTTCGGGGTGTTTTGGATCAAACCTACCAGTAGATGAAAACTCTCCCAACTGGCAAGCTTACCGTTTGAGTCTSGMAARGATGCGACTTCTTTCAACAGTCTCGACACAYGTTAGAGCAACAACAGGATTTGAAGAGTATGGCGTTGATTTCACGGATTACCTTCGCATGAAGACGTCCAGCTTGGACATCTTGAGTTCTGTCACTCTTCATGGTGTTTGCAAGATGGTCGAGTTCATTCATATCCGTCATTTTGCTGCCAGGAATATTATGGTACCATTTTGGCATGAAGTTAACCGATACGCATTGCATGTCGACAGCAGTTTTACTGGCCATTGCAGTCAATTTGCAGCTGCAAGTGTTGGCAGCGTTCATTCGGAAGATAACTTTGGCCTCTACGGAAACGTGAATCGTAATTTTAGGGGGACAAAAAACGCAGAGAGTACAACGCAGTGGTGGTTTGGGGGTTATTTGTAAACCAGATTTTTTTAGATCACGTGTGCTAGAGTAGTTAACAGTAGTTGATCAGAATACGCAAAGCCATCAATTCATGTTTTTGTGCTTTATTGACAAATTTACATATTTAGAGCTAGAAATCATGTTTTCTTGCTATTTAGAAATAATTGAAGTATATTCTCATTGTTTAATAGATTGTATTTATCTGCTATTTCTTCATCAAAAAACAGCCAAAGGTTTTCAATGCAAATTGTGATCATTGTTGAAGGTCAGCTTCCTTCTTCATGCGTCCTTCTGACGTAATATAAACTTCCCCATGGACGAAGACAGCAAAAACGTCTGAATGTACTATCAGTTTTATGCTCGAGTTATTTATAAACAGGACATTTCTCTGGTCACACCCATATAAAACACTTACAATGAATATACACAACATTATACAGCGATTTTTAACGCTTTCTAAAATGACAACGTTTTCGCAAGTAGGTGTATTGGACAGAATTGCCCTATCGCAATATTACGTCACAAAAACATCCTATTGTTTAGCGCTATGCCTTATGATCGCCAAAGGGGGAGAGGGAATAACTCCAAAACAAAGAAAATGCACACTTGCCATGCAGTCTCCGAAGTTTTTTGAAATAGGTGTATATCAAACCTAGATAAAATTATCGAGAAACAGAATATTAGAAGGTCAGCAGTACTCCCACTGTAACCATGCTGTGACGTCATAATGCTTTTAGGTCAATTGGTTCCACCTCAAATAGTATTGTTAATTGTATAGAACAATATATGCCTATTTAAGTATTTGGAACAGAACTGTTTATGTTTCCTTTGTCAGATAAGTAACTGGTACGTAATGATATGTTTCCCTTGAGTACAGTATTCTGTTCTTAGTAGTTCGTAATATGTAAATTCGTTTAGTTTTCATGTTGTASTCAAGCCGTGTAAYTCACCGACAAGGTAAATTGAATTGTATTTCTATATTTTATTTCTTGTAACCTGTAGTTAGTAGTGTGGCTTTGTAATGTACCGTATTAGACCGTATACTTAATGTTTTGTTGATTGTGAATAGAATTTTGGCTACAACAAGTATCCAATAAGAAGGGTGCCATATTTTAAATTAAAGTCACTTTAGTGAACGTTTTGGTCATCCCTTGATGACCAACTCCCCCTCCCCCTCTCCCAGATGTTCGAAGCTTGTTACAGCTCTAGGGTAATAAAGATAGGGATTTTGGACTTGTTGATAGACTAGAATAAAATTTCTAGTCTCACTATATAAGTGTTCCTTTTGTGACGCTGGCTAACCGTCTCATGTGTTTTAATAGGSGATATGCATTATGGTGTCATTTCCTACAGCTACCAGAATGCTTTGCCAACTTTCTTTTGTAAAGCAATTAGTGCCAATTGTTTTATCTATCTCCAAGGGGATTAAAAATCTGAATAACAATGAAAATGCGCAAGGCTCTCTGGTAGTTGTACTAAAGTTACGTCATAGTACAAACGGCCTATGTGCAATGATATAATTCTGACGTCCATGTATCTTCATAATTCATTTAATGACAGATTTCTGAAGAATATCTCAGCTTGAAACTACTGCAGTTAGGATAGGACTCGACAATTAGGCATTCTTTGTCTTGTGTGCCCAATTGGGATAAGAATAACAGAAAAAATAATCATTTTCTACATCATTCAAAGTTAGTTGGCTATATGCACAAATACTGTCAGGTTCAAAACAGATATGGTTGAAATATTCGAAGTTAAGACCGAGCAATATGTCTTTTCAATTAGGGTAAACGAACCATAAAAGGTTGCCGATAGAAGAACCATAGGGAACTCTTTATTTATTCATCATTTGCAGTAACTTAGAAGTATTCCGACTACACAATCCGACTACACATAGCACCTGCACCAGTCAGTCTTCAAGAGCTACTTATGTCCAAGTCTTACTTTAGTGCTCTTAAAATGCTTGTATGGATTGCAGTGATTCTCGTTCCTTTTGGTTCAGCAGTATTAAGACAAGCAAAGATAAAAGATGGAATATTCATACCTGAGAAAGGTATGTGGGAAATCAGTTCACAAATATGTATGATCGAGGTACAACAAACATGAGAGGGTTCTAACAAAAAGTTCAATCAGACATTTGATTTTATCTGCAAGTAGTTCTGAATTTCTCTTAAACGAACTGTTATTTTGGAAATTGGTCCTTAATTAAGTAAAGTCCAACTAATTGTCATCAATCATCATTGGACTTTTTATAAGAATCACTCTTTTTATGCTTGTTTGATCGCCCAGTTTGTAATAGTAGTATTGTAATAGTAATATTTTTCGCAATTCAAAACAAACGAAAAAAAAAAAAAAAAAAAAAAACGAAAATGAAGGCAGTGCATGTGGTGTGGAGTTTCAATTTGAAGAATAATTTTGGGATATAACTATTCATATATCTTTGACAACAATTGTAGCAGACGGTATTAATATTTGCATACAAATTTAATGAGAAGTTTTTTCAAATTAAGGGACTGTGCAATAATTACCAGGAGGGGGGGAGGGCGTAAAACCAGAG